GGAGGGCAAGGCGTGGCCGGGACTGTGGAAGAGCTCAGCATACTCCTCCCTCAGCCCAGCGTATAGGGGGCAGTCATACACTGCGTGGCGTACGTCCTCTAGAGAGGCCTGGCAGTGGGGGCATGGGCGCTGGGTGCGGTCCAGCCGCTGCCACCGGCCTGTCTCCTCAGCCATCCAGTGCGACCCCGTGCGCCACTGCGCCAGGCGCACCCGGCGCCGGCGCTCGGGCACATCGCACAGGAACGACGCAGGCGTGTAGGCCTCCGCAGAGATGCTGCCCCCCCACACGTCCTCAATGTACCGCTGCACCTTGACGGATGCATGCGTGTACGAGGCAACATGGCGCTCCAGGAGCGCTTCCGCCAATTCAGGTATGGCAACCCCCTCGTCAGCAGTCAAGTCGCAGGGGGCGCCGGCCGCCGCGAGAACGCGGCTAACCTGCGCTGCCCAGGGCTGCCGGGCCAGTGGCAGCCCTGTGTCCGTGTCGGCAGCCAGCAAGGCGCAGCCGCTGGCGAGCAAGGCGCTGCCAAATGCCAGGCCGGCTGGCATGGAGGGGGCAGCTGCAGGCGCGCAGGGCAAGCAGAGCGGCGAGCCCGCCCGCAGCTGCGGCAGCCATGTGGGGGCGGGGCGGGCGGGGCGGGCTGCTCACAAAAGTCGACATCACCCAGCTCCAGCTTCAGCTCATCGATGGAAGTGACGGCGGCGACCGCCTGCAGCCCGGTGGCGGCTGTTGCAGCGGCACAGGCGGAAAGGAACGGTTGGCCCTAGCGAGCGCGCAGCTGGAGTGAGCGTGGGAGGGGCGGGCAGCCACGGCAGCGGCGCCCGGTGGCCCGCCGCCAGCCTCTGCGGCAGTCACACGCTGCCGCGCCGCACGCGGCCAGCCAGGCAGCCAGCACCAGCCAGCCTGCCAGCCAGGGGCATCCAGCCATGCGGCCAGCACAGCACAGCACATCACAGCACAACGCAGCACGGCCCAGCACAGCCAGGCAGCCACAGCCTTACAAGGAATGAGCCCCGCGTTGGTGGTCACCAGCATGGTGACCCGCGCCTTGCGGGAGGTGACCTTCAGAGAGGCCTCGGTGTTGAAGTTGGGCCAGAAGGAGGATCGGAAGTGGAGCTCCATGCCTCCCCAGATGGACAGGTCGGTCGCTTCGGTGGACAGCCTGATGCGGGTCTGTAAGCAGGGCAAGGGCAGCGGTACTGGCGGTTCAGCCAGCGATAAAGTGGCGCATGCATATAAAAAAAAGGTAAAGGTAAAGGTGGGGAAGAGCCTCCACAGGCTTAACTTCCCGGTTTTAACGTCTAGCTGTAGACCATTATTTGATCTGCCCGACGCGCCAAGTGCAGTACCCCCCACTAGTAGTGAATGGGTCCCGGGGAGGCCTGTGCCGAAGCCTTGGCGATTCTATTAGGCGTTCCCGAAGGAATTGGCTTGGATTGGCGCTGAGCCGGTCACATTGGCGCTGAGCCATGTGAAGTGGAATGGAGTGCACGCTTTGATGACATGCATGCATCCCACATATGTGGGATGCCTGGGGGTAGACTGCAGCATGCACTGCATGTCTTTTCCCTGTCCTTGGGTAAGAAAAGCTTGAGGTGCTGGAGCTAGGTGGTGCATAAACCCTCAGAGAGGGGCACAGGAACGCCTAATAAATCGTCAAGGTTTCAGCCCCCCG